CACTGATGAGGGATCTCATCCTAGAGTCATTGGGAAGAAGAAAACTTGGATTTGTTTTTCCCGTAGTTTCTCCTAATCCGTCATCCCAAAATTCTGCTCTGTTCCTCCAGCAGAGCAAGATTCTATTGGATAAATAAGGCTACCTTGTGAGGCCCAAGAACACGTAAGAGCATCAGGACTCTCTGAGAAGGGCAGAAAGCCTATCTATCTCATTCCTGTCCATGGAGTAGCTATCCTGAGAGGCAAGGGCTCCATCTGCCGGAACTAGACTGGATGATGGGTGTCTGGGGCCACTGAGATGGATAGACTCATAATGGATAGACTGTGGGGGAGTGAGGGGTGGGGGAGTGAGGGGTGGAGGAGCTTTAGGAATGGAGTCAGCGTGGCCTTGCTTGCAGACTTCAGAGTGGCAGTGGTGAGTTCCAGGGACCATATTTGCTACTGAGGGATTTGGTCAGGTCAGCACCATAGGGCACCCACAGCAACATCCATCTCCTGCCAGGGCAACTCAGACTGAGACTGACAATATTATTCCACCTTGGAATAATAAGAGAACAGTTAATTCATTGACCCCCCTCCAAAAGATGGAGAAATGGCCCCCTGGCAAAGGCCCCTGCAGACGTATGAGCAGCCAGGAGGAGACAGCACGTCCAGGAACTGAAAGAGCTGGGGGGATGGAGGGGCCTGCGGTTCCCCTCCCTGAGCAATGCTGACCTTTGGGAGGAGGTTGTAGCACAAGAATGGTCATCAGACAACGTAGTCTTTGCCATTCTACTGTCCTGTGCAATTTGGGAACTCTCAACTGACTGCATGGAAAACAGCCCTGGGACTCACTTGCACAGGGGTGCCACCTGGGACACGATTCACACAAATTCCAAGCTTATAATTCATGCATTCATCAAGGTGGATATGTTGGGAGGGAGGGCCAAACATACGGTACAAAGGGAAAGCTTGATTCGTAGAAGATTATTCTGCAGCAATTGCCTCTGACTGTTAAGGAGGTAGCAGAGCAGGGTGTTAGGAGCATGGACTTGGGAGCCAAATGCTAGGGCTCAATCTTCTCTTGATTTCTTTTACTCCAAGACTTTGAGTGAGTTTCCTCATCCCCTAGGTCTCTGCTTCTTCATCTGTTGAAGGGGATAATAAGAGCACTTACAGCAGAGTGGGTAAGAAGACTAACGTAAATAATCCAAGTCAAAGCTGTCATATAATAAGTACTTGATAAATATTAGCATACATGCAAAGTATGACCTGACTTATAAAATGTGAATCATATCTTATGTGTCCAAACAAGGTAAGATTCCTACGTAATTGCCTGTAGAGCAATAGTTGGTTATGGAGTGGTGACTGAGGAAGATGAACCAGGACGTGAATCAAAAGCATACTTTGTGATACACTCTTTTTTTCTAACATACTCAAAAATCCCTTGTAGACCTAAAGTATTTAAGGAACATAGTTTGGAAGCCATTGCATTATTGGAACAAAAATAAAAGCTGTATGTCCGAGGGGCGCCTGGGTGGCTTCGTCGGTCAAGTGTGTGACTCTTGATCTCGGGGTTATGGGTTGAAGCCCCATGCAGGGTGTAGAGATTGTTTAAAAAATAGAATATTAAGAGAAAAAAAAAAAGCAATATATCCTAAACCGATTATAGTGAGGTTAGGTGTACTGCCCATTCTTGCTGGAATAACCAAAGGCAACGTTTAAAGCTGGGCCCACTGAAGACATTCCTTCTGACATTTGGTGCCTATGCCAACGGGTGTGATCTTGATTTTATTTAAGGGGTTTATGACTGACAATGCCAAGGAAAACACTTAACAGGAGACCAGCTTAGAGGAAGTAAAAATCTGTTATTTGGGGTTACTGTGAATACATACAGAAGCTTCTAAAACATGTATAACAGGACGTTGGTGAGATAGTGAGTAAAAAATCTAAATCTAAATGCCTGTGAATTTCATATACTAATACAAATAATAAAGTTTTAAACAAAGGACACAAAAAGAGTAATGAGCAAGTTAGGAAACACTGACTAAGAAATTAACAATCACCTCAAATTGCCCAGTGCCGTAAGAAGAAGTGGCCAGGGTTTTTGTTAAGTTACTGAGGTCATTTAAAACTGCCACATGAACTGTAATTTCTATTTCTGTTTAAAAAAAAAAAAGGCTTTGAAAGGTAAATTGTCATTCGAAGAGGACTGGAGCTTAAATCTGAGAATCATTAATGTTTATGGCTTGTGGTTTTAAAATATTACCCCTGGGTGGTGACGTTGAGGGAAAGGCCTGGGGGAAAATTACCTCTGGCCTCTGGGAATTCTTTGTCTCATCTACCCTCCCCTGGTCCTTTCTCCTCTCCATTCCTTACCTTTATCTCCCCCAGGTAGCAAAGGGTTAGGAGTTGAGTTTCATGTATTTAATTACACATGCCTGGCAGGAAAAATGCCATGGGCAAGGCTGTGATCAAATGATAAGGCTACAGTCAGCGACTAATTAAGAATGCCAAGCATGGGGCACCTGGGTGTTCAGTTGGTTAAGCAACTGCCTTTGGCTCAGATCATGATCCAGGATCCAGTCCCGCATCGGGCTTCCTGCTCAGCAGGGAGTCTTTCTCCCTCTGCCACCTCCCCCTCTCATGTGCTCTCTCTCTCTCTGTCTCATATAAATAAATAAATAAATCTTAAAAAAAAAAAAAAAAGAACATCAAGCATATGAGAATAGTTTCGTTATTTCCGAATAGTCTAATAAAGTCAATGTTTTATATATTTAATAATATAAACTCTATACGATTATGCTGATAGAGAACCAGGCATAACTGGTATATGCAAATTATACTTTCATAGTTTAAATCTTCTCACTTTTGGTCCGCACAACAGTGTCATCAAGGCAAAGCAGGGTTGGGGCGAAGAGAACCAAGGCCAGAAATGGCTGATGGAGCAGAAGACACATGAGAAAAGGCCCTGCGTTCCTGGTAATTAAAGGTCTTGGTCTAGAGTAGGAGGAAAGAAGGATAAAACACTAAGGATGAGTAAAGGAAAAGTTGTTCGTGTTGAGATGAGAAGGAACAGAATAGGGATGGAGAGGGATTTTATTTATTTTTTATTTTTTATTTTTTATTTTTTTTTTAAGATTTTATTTATTTATTTGAGACAGAGAGAATGAGAGACAGAGAGCATGAGAGGGAGGAGGGTCAGAGGGAGAAGCAGACTCCCTGCCGAGCAGGGAGCCTGATGCAGGACTCGATCCCGGGACTCCAGGATCATGACCTGAGCCGAAGGCAGTCACCCAACCAACTGAGCCACCCAGGCGCCCTGGAGAGGGATTTTAAAAGAAGGAAGGGATTCTGGTCAAGTAGGTAGACCCGTTCTTAAGCAGAAGATGAACTTTGTAAATACTTAAGCAGGTTCCTTCAGATATTTTTGAGGCTAACTGAGATTTTTCCTGTTCTCATCTCCCACCTTCCCCTACTCCCTCAAAACATTTATGGTAACCCAACTTCTTTGAACTGAGAATCAATTTTCCATTCCACAATTAGAGACAATGCTTGATAAGCAAACTAGCTGGCCCAGGTAACATGAAACTCTTTCTCACTAAAATGTTAATAGCTGACACTGGATCCTTTGCTGTTTTGATAGGAAGAGGAAGTAAGAGAATGGGAAGGCCCTGGCATGAAAAGCCTTCCCAAAGAAGGAGAGGAAGAACAAGAGAAACAACTCATGTTTATGACATACTTATGTGTCAGGTGTTCTAAGTGCTTTGCATGAATTAACTTGTTCAATCCCCACAGCAACATATCTGAGGGACATACTATTACTAATCACCATTTTACAGATGAGGAAACTGAGTCATGGAGAGGTTAGGGAACTTGCCTAGGGTCATACTGGTAGGGCCAAGGTTTGAATTCTGGCATTTCTAGTCCTAGTATCCATACTCTTGGCCATGGCTGAAAAAAAATTGGCTCAGAGAGAAGATGGCCCAGGAAACAAAACTTTCCTATGTGAATGATGTTCCCTAAAGTCAGCTTGTTTACTCCTAAGTGTCAGGGGTAAGGAGGAGTCCAGTGCAGAGGTGGTTTATGTTGCCACAGCATTGTGAATCTGATACTTACAGGAACACCAGCAGAGGTTACTACATTCAGTCCTATGGAACATTGTGACACCCTCTCGGTTCCATGTGTGTACTGGTTTGCTGCCTGAATTAGTGATCCTGTTGCAGTTATTAAAGCTTCCTCTGCCTCTGAGTCCACATTTGGAAACTGGGTTATTTCTAGTTGTCAGCTCTCTGACTCAGGGGAATGCAGAGGGCTAATGGGCTGATACATGCAAAGTGCTTTGAGCCATAAACCAGGACTAACTGAACCTTTAGAGAACAGTATGACTTGGAAGTGGTATTTAAATTGACATAAATGTAGAATATTCTCCTAGTAGCTCCTTTGGATGTTCTTGGTCGGGCTGCCTGAGTTCTTCCCTAGACTTTCACACTGAACAGCGCTAATGGAAAACTGTCTGGAGGACCTGGGCAATGCCCCTATAGTCTGGGATTGTTCAAATTATGTGGAGATAAGGATTCCTAATTCAAAATAACAATCTTCCAGCCAGGACCTTGAAAGCCATTGCTTATCCAAAAAGATAAAAAGAACTGGATCCACTCCAAGGAAACATTTAACTTAATTGCAAACACCATACCTTAGCATTTAATTCAAATGAGAGTGATCTAACTGATACCACCAAGGGCAGAACCAATTGCAAAATTAAGAAAAAAATAATGATTTACAAAGAGATGTGGGTAAGGAGATACCTGAGACTAAATGAATGGGGAGAGAAGGAGTCTCAGCTGCAGCTATGATTAAGGACCAAGAGGCACAAAAAGAAATATAAAGCTAGGGTTTTTAAAAGAAAAATGTGTCTGATTAATCCACACCTTCTAATGGAATTTCCCTCCCATTTTTCACAAGCATAGAAATATTAGTTGTCAACCTATGTTTTCAAATAAAACAAATGACAACAGAAGGATGATCAAAATATTTTTAATAGATGCAGTCACCAACTCAGTGATATTTATGCCTTGTATTCATGTTTTTTTTAAGGGTCAGAGTCATACCTGAGCACAGTTATGCCCTTCCAGACCTGAGAAAGGAAGCAATCACTGTGAGCTAATAAATAAACACGACCAGCGGAAACAAGGGGGAAATTCAGGAGCAGAAATGGGGCAGCTTGAAATAATTTACAAAAGAGTTTGAGAGCAAAGGGAGGACATTGAACAACGAAAGGAAGGTGGTAGATGGTCAAGACCATATAGTATTTAAGAAACTACAAATCCAAAACAAGGAAAATAAAAGACCGTTTTCCAGAGCGTGGTTGTGATTCAAGCCATTTCAGATAAAAGCTATGACAAATTTCCAAAAAAATTTAGGAGCAAGAAATTTGATTTTAAGATGCTAAGCCTTCCTTTTTGACAGCATTTTCTCATATCTGCAGACACTTCATTTTAAGCACTCAAGGCCCTACCTATTACTCACCAAAGGGAATACTGATGTGGATTCGTTAGTGTGAGAATTAAGACAGGCATAATATTCCCAGGAGAATTTACAGATTAAAGCTCATCTCTAAATGAGAAGGAATTTTTAGATGGAAAGCTTGTGGAAGAGGCATGAGAACCTTCCTCACGTCCCTTCTCCCAAATCTCACTGAAGGTACGTTTTGTGTTTGCCTCTGTCTTCCTTGGTCCCATTTATGACAGTGGTTGTTATCCCGTTCATAAACACCTCTTCACGTTGTCTTTGCCGGACGGAAGGGGTTTCCTTTCAACAAAGAACAATGGGATTTGTGTAAGGAAAAGGTCATTTAGGTGAAACTGTGCTGTGATATTTTGCTATGTCCAATCTATGATAAGGTCACTGAAAACCCACTAATGAGCCATAAAGTGTAAGGGAGACCAGTAGTCATTTAACAGTCCCATTTCACGTACAAATGTTCATTACTTTTGCTGAGAACTGGGGCGTAGGGGCTGATGCTCCAAGTCTCTGTGAGGAGAAGGATAGCTTCCTTGGCCACACTCTGCGAGCCGCTCTACTCTGCACTGGACTCAATAGGAGGAAGGGTGAAGTTAGGCACACAGGGTTTGGACAATGCTCCAGTTCTTTGCATCCCAAATATTTACTGAGACAGTCAGGTCATTGTTTGGAGATGCCAGGCCTAACCTACAAAAGGTGGCAGAGGGACAGGAGGAGAAAGAAGAGCTCCCTCTGTTCGGTAAAGATGTACTCACTGGGTCTACAGTGATTGCCAAAGCAGCAGTATAGAAATACAAGAATTGTCCGACACACCCTCTTCAAACCGAGCACCCATTTAAAAACTCAACTTCAGGGCCACTCACCTATGCACGTCCCACCCAGGCATTTCAGAGTGTCCAGGCAGCTGTTCCTGCTACCTGGAAAAGTCATCTCCTCATCTTGAGTCTACCTTTTCTTCTGGATTCCCCTCTAGCTCTCTCCACATCCCACTTCCTGTTTCAAGCCTCTCCGGGTATCCCAGCCCACAGTAATCACTTTGTGCTTCAACTTCCTACACCACTCGCCTAGCACTGGTAATTCTGTGGCCGTTATCTGTTTATCCCTTCAGCTCCCCATCCCCAGCACCAGACCTGGCACGTAATAGTCCACCTCCACTCTGTGCCTAGAAACGGTGATACATTCTTATTTAGACTGTTGTAAGCATCCCTGTCTTGAGTTCATGCTTATGTAAATTTTATGTAATTTTTAAGCGCCGATGAAAGGTTTTCCCATTGTTAACATGTTTGAAATGTAGTACATTCTTAATATGTAGTCATTTTCAGACATCATGGGTTTTATTAGGATGCATAAGAAACAACACTCGGCCGATCTGGGGAAAAAGGAAGAACAATCACCTATAGAGAGTGAGAGGAGCAAAGAAAGGATTCATACAGTCCTAAACCCACGCTGGTATGACCAACTAGTCCAGTTTACCTGGGACTTTGCCAGGTTTAACACTGGAAGTCCCACGTCCTGGACAACCCCTCAATTCCAGGCAAACCGGCACAGTTGGTCACCTACCGGGTGGCCAATGAGCATTTTGACAAAAGGCAAATGCAAGTTTTAAATGCTGGGCTGAGTCCCCTTTCTCCTCTCTTACCTCAAATCCTGGTACCACAAGCTTCTCCAGAGACATTCTACTCTTCGATGACAAGTACCCAGTTCCCAGGAAGGAAGCCCGGGTTTATTCAATTCTCTCAACTTCAGAAGCAGTCTCAGGCCTGGGAGGACAAATGGTCAAGGGAAAAAGCTTTATACAGAGTTCTCACAAAACAGAAACTAAAAGGAATATTTGGAACAGGAAACAGTGACCTTTATGGCATGAGTCCCAAAGGGAAAGTCAAAGGCAGAGACTCAGGAAGGCAAATGTCCAGAGTCCACGGGAACTCCAACTCACACCGAACATTCCATACCAGGCCTGCTAATTGGAGAGCCAGAGCAGCTGGTGTGATAATGTTCCTGTGCAATCAACCCAACTGTGACAATTCCAGTGACTACATTAACAAGAAAACTGGAACCTACGGTTACTAACACATCTGAATGTTGTCACATGTGGCAGAAAGTAGTGACATATTCTGAGCGACAAAAACCTATACTACACAATAGACACATTCTGAAAACAAAAAAGGACCTCAAAGAAGCGTAACAATAACAACACCATAAATAATGGTGTATTCAAAAATCAACTCCACCTCTGTAGTTTGCAGAATGACAGGAATTTTTTCCCATAATAGAATGATAGCACATTTAATAATTTCAATCTGCATAATGTTTAACACAGTAACTAAAACCAATAAAACAATAAAAACGTAACTGGGAAATGGAAATTTTATTGTTTGTATCTCTATGCTATCACTCAAGATAAAGGTGGAGTTGATTTCTTTAAGTATAGATCTCTAGGGGCACCTGGCTGGCTCAGTAGAGTCCGTAGAGCATGTGACTCTTGATCTCAGCGTTGTGAGTTCGAGCCCCATGTGGGGTGTAGAGATAGATCAAATAAATAAATAAATAAATAAATAAATAAATAAATAAATAAACAAACTTCCTGTGTACTGAGGTACCAGTGAAGGTAAGCCAACTTGGCCTAGAGCTGAAATTTAGGGTACATGGTGCAGGATATAATCTTACCACCAGAGGGTATTGTTTCCTCTTCCGGATGGTTGGCAAGTTTATGTAACCACAAACTAACCCTAAACCAGCCCCCACTAAAAATGGGCCAGGCCAGATCATGGCAAAGTGGATTAATCTGTAATATTCCCACAAATTCCCTCTTGTCTTCTCATTTTAGAGAGAGTTCACTTTTCTTTCCGTTGAGAGAATCAGGCTGGCAGCAAGCCAACCTACACACACTGTATGTAGAAAACAGATCACACCCCTTCTGCTGGTCAAAACAAGAGAATGGCCACTTAGGAAATTAGCCCAGGTGGCTATTTCTGATTATCCTGCAAGGCAGGAGTTTCAAGGGAGTGAGAACTCAGAGGCTAGAATGAGTGAGCAGAAGGGATTTCAGGGGCAGCATGGCCTCCTGCTTGAATTTTGATGTAAGCTGATTTACAACTGAAAAAGGTCCATGTCTTGTTAGAGACCAAAAAGCCTAGGAAAGTTACCAGAGAGATTTTGACAACTTCCAAAGTCAGCCAGGGAATCTGTCCCAGACCATTAGTATACCGAATTTAGAAAGCAAGGCCCTGGAAAGGTGCCCCAGGAAGATGCCCAAGGGAGTCAGTTTGAATCCGACTAAATGCTTACTCTTGAAAAAGGAAGGCTTTGTCCCCTCCAGCTCGCTCAGTGCCAGAGGCTCTGTCAGGGAGACAGATTTGAAATGCAGAAATATGAGATATTAGGTCATCTGCCTGGCCGAAGGCAAGTTCAACAAATCCAAACTTCGAGTCAACAAATAATTTCCGTTTTTTTAATGACCAAAAATAATACTTGTTCATCGCTAAAACTTCAAACAATACAGAGGTAAGAGTAACAAGTGCGGGGACTTTCTTCTCACAGGCAGCCCACTCCCCTCAGCCCCCCGCGCCAGGAATATTCACTGTTGATGATTTGCTCATATTTTTCAGGGCCTCCAATTTCTTTTTCTTTTCTTTCTTTTTTTTTTTTTTTAAAGATTTTATTTATTTATTTGACAGAGAGACACAGCGAGAGAGGGAACACAAGCAGGGGGAGAGGGAGAGGGAGAAGCAGGCTTCCCGCGGAGCAGGGAGCCCGATGCGGGGCTCGATCCCAGGACCCTGGGATCATGACCTGGGCCGAAGGCAGACGCTTAACCGACTGAGCCACCCAGGCGTCCCTCTTTTTTTTTTTTTTTTTAAGATTTTATGTATTTATTTGAGAGAGAGAGAGAGAGAGAGCACAAGGAGGGGGAGGGGCAGAGGGAGAGGGAGAAGCAGGCTCCCCACTGAGCAGGGAGCCTGACATGGGGCTCCATCCCAGGACCTTGAGATCATGACCTGAGCCGAAGGCAGACGCTCAACGGACTGAGCCACCCAGGTGTCCCCAGGGCCTCCAATTTCTGTGAATAATAAAAAATTGATCAATCTATCTGTCTAGCTCTCCATCTATCTATTCATCCCATGCATCTCTCAATTGCCCATTTGGTTTGGTCTTATTTTTGCAAAAAGGAGGTGCTAAAATACATGTTCTTGTATGTGAGTTGTTCATTCCGTAGATCATTGAATTTTTTTAAGTCTATCTCATTCTTTTTAATAGTGACACAGTATCCCATTGTACAGATGTCCCATAACTTTATTTAGCCCTTGCTCTATTGATGGACATTTATGCTGTTTCTAACTTCTTTTTCTATTACAAAACTGCTATAATAAAAGTCTTAATTAAAAGAAATAGTTATTGGGGCGCCTGGGTGGCTCAGTCAGTTAAGCGTCTGCCTTCGGCTCAGGTCATGATCCCAGGGTCCTGGGATTGAGCCCTGCATCGGGCTCCCTGCTCCGCGGGAAGTCTGCTTCTCCCTCTCCCTCTCCCCCTGCTTGTGTTCCCTCTCTCGCTGTGTCTCTCTGTCAAATAAATAAATAAAATCTTTAAAAAAGAAAAAAAAGAGTTATTAATGGTATGTTGTGTTAAGGATCATACACTGTGCTAAGCCCTCTATAGGATATTAAGATGAATAAAATATATTTTTGCCTACTTGGAGTTTACTCTCTAGTGCGGAAGAACTATACATATCTCACATATGAAAAAAAGACTCAAATAATAAGTCATTATACAAATAATATTTTCAAACAAATAAAATTCCGTGCCCGGGGAGCTGAGAAAAGGGAGGCGTCTAATTCTAATAGCTGGATTAGGAAAGGCTTCATGAATTGACTTCATCTATGTAGAGATTTGCTTTAGTGTGTTTGATGTAGGGAAGTTGAAGTGGAAGCTTGTAGAACTCTTAACAAAGTCATCCTTTTCACCATGCACTGAGATACGATTTTTACTATCTGAATTTCAGATATAATTTCAGAAAGGTCTGGGAATGCTTTGCTGGGTTTAGTCTAAAACTGAAAACTCACCACCAATATCCTACATGGTACTGCTTTTTGCTCTAACTGCAACATTTTCTGGGTAAAAGTATGCTTTCCAAATCAAGCATGTCAGAGACTGTTGAATTATTCTTGTTACATGTGGTGTGACTGTCCGGAGGAGGATTTTATCAGTACACTAAATCCAACAATGTGTTTTAAAAAGAAAAACGTGGAATAACTCACTTGTGATAACAAATCTCTTTAAGTCGGAATCCTCCTGGCAATCTGTAAACATGCTGAAAGGAGAGTTTTTATTTTTAAGCAATCTTAATTAGCAGGTCTTTTTCTTATTAACATCTTCAAAGTGCTTTGAGCTCCTCCCCAGATGAAAGCTTCTGTGTGCATACAAATTATTATTATGCTCACAAAATACACACACCAAATGCAGGAAAGTGCCAACAGTTTAACTCGGCAGCCTGCAATGCCCTTGAGACACTTTGATCTGCCGATATAGCCATCAATTATTCTGTATCCTTTACTCTCTAAATGCATGCATCAAAGCATTCTCATGCACACCCTTGTAAATCCAGCTGTTTATTCCAAAATAGTTCCTCTTAATTAACCCTTGTTTCTTTCCCCTTTGTTGGCAGCTGCTGATTCAGCTTTTCTTCTTTTGAGGAGAAGGTATACATAACCTTGGCTTTGGAATGGAAAATAACTCACGTTTTCTCTCTACAAAGATGGTCATGACATAAAAGATGTGTGTTAATAAAGATTCTTTGATGCCCTGGGAAAATGCATGTGATATAGTAAGTGAAAAAAAGCATGGTGCAAAAATGGATAGAGTATTTTCTCAGCTGTACTACCAATAATTGCTAATATGAATTGAACACAATCATTTAGCTCACCGACCCGAATGCTTCCCCTATGCGGTATACTTTAATCTTCACCATGAGGTGAATTCTATCATCTCCCAGGTAGCCATAAAGACACTGAAGCTCAGAAAGGTTAAATGATGGGGTTCTGTCCAGCACTGTCCGGTTCCAAAGCTCGTTCCCTTAGTGATGGTCATGCTGCCTTTTAACAGTGACTGTCCCTGGGTAGAGAGATTAGGGATGATTTTTTTCCTCCCAACTTTTTTATACTTACACATTTTAAAAAGAATCCAAACTCGCATACTAGCCATGTGAATTAATCAAATAAAAATAAAGAAGGCATTATTTATGGGCGTGCTGACTTGGGATAAACATAAGAAACATGTCATTAACCTCAGAGTTCTCTGGGTCTTTACCTCTTCATCTTTAAAATGAGGGGATTGAACCAAGAGATTTCACAGGCACCTTTCAGTTCTAATGTTACTTTAGTCTTTTAGTTCCTGATTATGCCACAGAAATGGCACTTTCCTTCAAAAATAAGTAGCTTCTAGTTCCCTAAATTTGCTCAAAGAGCTCTGTTAAGCACTGAGGGAAGAACCACAGAACTGAATGTTAAATGAATCCAGGTCGTGATTCATCTTTGAACACCAAAGAAGAATAAAGACTACTTTTGTTAATGATGAATATTGAATAAGTAATGTAAAGTTATTACATAATTAATAAATTATAATCACAAGTGAAGAATACGTACATTTTTCTGATCTAATTCCAGAGTAAAAGACAACAAGTTGCACTGAAACTCAGGGCCAGGTCTTTTTCTGACCCGGCTTTAGTTTGGACATGTCTGGCATGCAGGAGTGAGAAACCCTTTGAAACAACATGGAGAGTGGGTGTTTCCAGCTGAGAGGAGCATTTGATCTTTTCTTGGAAAATAACTACCTGC